GCCTTGAGCCAGCAGTGGAAGCCTCCCACCCCGAGAAGGAAGCACTGAGGGTTCGCCGAGGGGTTGAAAGGTCCCCAGGCTAACCGCAGCCACACGGTCACGTTATGAAGCCCAGGAAAGGCAAGCTGCTGGACACAGGAGTGAGCCACGCCCGGCTGTCCCTCCCCGTGTCCCTCCCCAACTGTCTCTCCCGGCTGTCCCTCCGAGCACGACGGAGACTGGTCTGCTTTCCCATCTCCACGCTCGGCTAACGCACTCGACACATGACTGGCAGCGAGCTCATCCCTAAACAGGATAAAGGGGGATACACATAGGAACAAGGAATAGAGCCCCATTTTATCAACAGGGTTTGGAGCTCGAGGCTGTTCACGTGCGTGTGTGTGTGTGTGTGTGTGTGTGTGTGTGTGTGACTCAACATCTGTCTCTCCCGTGGTTACAATAGTCAAGCGGAAGGCCTGCAGAGGGAAAGAAAGAGTGAAGGGTCTAATTCGCGGCGACTGGATAAACAAACCCTCCATCCGCGCCAGGGCGACACTGAGCAGCACAAAGGGACGAACGACTGGGTCGCACAGGACACAGAGGCTCTCAGAGTCACCACGCTGTGAGGGAGGGTTCGGAAAAAAGACGGTACCGACTACACATCTCTCTCCCTGTGAACTGCTAGACATGCAAGCTCGTCTCTGCCGACAAAAAGCAGATCCGGGGTTACCTGGGGAGGCAGGAAGGGAGAGGCAGAATCTAAAATAATCTTACAGATCTGTTTACTTATTAAAACTGCTGCCAAAATTTCACTCATTCACCCATTTCTACTATGACTATCAGAAGCATTAGCCCGAGTCAGTACAGTGTTCCTGTCCTAATTAACTTGAGAGCATCCATATCCAGGGGCCCCATATGTGATACTGGGGGAAAGGCACCTGCCCTTAAAAAAAACACAAAAAACCCACAAAAGTCTATTTCGAGCCTCCTGTTAATTTCAAGGGGCTTCAAGTTATGCAAAAAAACGCATTTCTCCGGGGCTGCCTCGTTATCATCAGATTTCAGTTCAACACAATATCCACTCACAAACATGGTGATTTGATTTTGCAATTCACTGCCTCCCACCCGAAAGAGTCCGCTCTTCACCAAAGATCATGTCGATATAAAACGCGTTAATTTTTAGTGATTCGCTGGGACGTGAGAGCCCTTGCCTCTGAAATACTGACCATCAAGTACTTAGCGAGCACACGACCCAGATGAGCCAATGGGGGCATTTAACTTCTCACTTCCTGCAGAACTCGTAAAGGTTCCAGACGCCGCTCCCAAAAGAAAATCCCAACTGAATTTTATGCCTCCTGATGCTGCACACTGTAAATTATCCTACAACAAATCTTTAAAAATCATCACTAGAATGCGCATTTCATGAGAACAGAGATTTTGACCGATTTTGTTTGTTCAATTCCTTAGCACCTGTTCCCGGTTAAATGCAAATATGTGCTGTGCGATACTTGCGAGCTCACATTTTGTTTCTCTTTCAGATCAGCACAGTTCCCCTGAATTGATGTGTAACCTCTCCTTCCCATGGCCTGACGAAACTTTCCTACTAAGCATGAGCGTAAGAAAAGGGGTTCTGTGATGGGAATCACAGGTGCCTGCGTCACACTGCACAGGGACATGTGGTGAGTCCATCACCGGAGACGGGCGGAGACCCAGTCACGTGGGCTGTGCCGAGGAGCAGGCTCCACGCGGCGGGGATACGGTGGCTCCAGGGAAACTCTGACCAGTTTCCACGCCCGGGTCTGGAGGAAGCCGCAGCCGGAAGGCCATCTGCACGTCCCCCGTGGTCAGATGTTTCCACCAGCTCCGAGGTGACCGTTAGATCGCCCCGCACTGCTGGTGAAGTCACCATAGCTAAAGCTCTAACCGTTGTTCAGAAACCAGTGATTTTAAGTTCCGTGTCCATCTATGGACCAGGGGGTCACAGTTTGATTCCCGGTCAGGGCACTGCCCGGGTGGTGGGCTCGATCCTCAGTGTGGGGCGTGCAGGAGGCAGCCCATCGGTGGTTCTCTCTCATCACTGATGTTTCTCTCTCCCTTCCTCTCTCTGAAATCAATAAAAATATATTTTTTAAAAGCCCAGTGATTTCATATATTGTTTCAGACTCAAGAAACCTCTCCTCCTAAGGAAATAAACAGGTATATGTGCCAAGTGTGCATGTGGGAAAATTCATTGGGAAATCATGGTAGCAAAACATTTCCCACGACTAAGGAATAATTAAACAACCATACGTCCCAATGGCGGGCCACTGCGTAGGTTTTGGAAGCAACGTAATAGAATTGGAAATGAGTCTCCAAAGGTAAAGGCAAAAGGTTACAAGAATTTTACATTCAGTGTGAGCCTAATGAACACACACACACACACAGACACCCACACATGTACACACACACCACACACACAGAGACACACAGACACCCCACACATGTACACACACCACACACACATGCACAGACTCCAAACACACCACACACACACAGACACTATACACACACCAGGCATACACCCAAACACACCACACACACACAGACACACAGACACCCCACACATGTACACACACCACACACACACACCACACACATACACGTACAACCACACACACACCCCACTCACACCACACACACACACTCACACGCTACACACACACACACACACACAAACACACACACACAAACACCACAAAAAAGAGGACTCGGACTCGGAACGCGTGGCTCCGGGACGCAGGCCCGTGGTGACCTCACACACTCGCTTCCCGCATCTCACAGCTCCCAGCCTCTCCCCAGCGCTCGCCCCCGCGTGGGAAGCCCTGGCAGCTCCTGCGCTTCGTCCACACGTGCGCTCTTATTTAGGCGGATGAGTTTCTCACGGTTACTGCTCTTCTCGGCGTTACGCAATACACTGGCATTTTGAGGGTGAGAAATAAGAGTAAAACATGCTGAGGGAACCCCTCCTGTCACCCCTTTCCAAGGTGCAGGCGGACTGGAGTTTGGCTGCATTCGCCCTGTTGTTCAGTCCTAAGCCGCTATATTGCTTTGGGTTTTAGGTCTTGGCCTGTGAACAGCCAAAGAGCCGAACACCTGTTCCCCAGTCATTTCTAACACCCGGGGACGTGTGGGGACCAGGGATCATGTGAGAGAGCTGATCTACCATTCCTGATGAGCAAAATAACACCAATAATACAACCATGCTTTCATTCATAACTATTGTTCATGTGTGACTGTTAACTTCCAAGTATACATAGAAAAGCATTCTACATGTAACTCAGAGTGAAATCACCTTAAATGCTTTATATAATTATCAGGCAAAATATAAATACGTGGTTGTTATTGCAAGAGTAAAATGAGACTAAAATTCACGAGCATGAAAACTCCAGGTAGGAAAAGAGACGAGCTACGATGAGCGCTGAGAAAGGGGTTCGTTCACATGACAACTTCAGGAAGAACGTTCTAGCCCTGGAGCCAACTGTTCACCGATATTTTTAAGGTCAAAAAGAGATTAGATTATTTTATAATTCTATTACTTGTAAAGTGGTTTATTGCGCTAACTTAACCTTTAAGAATTCTTAACCTTTAAGAACTGTATTTGACTTTTATTGAGTTCCAGGTAAGTCATAAAAAATGACCTTTTTCATGAAAAGGCTCTGCTTGGGAATTCTACGCGTCTTTAATGAGCTCTGCGTCTCAGTGTCACAAGGAGCAGCACCCTGACCTCACCCATGATAGTAACACAAGGAGGCACACGTCTTATATAATAAAGAGCTAATATGCTAATTAGACGGAACGACCTTCCGGAACGACCAGTGGGGGGGGGGGGGCGGGGCTGCGAGGCACCCCAGGGCCGCAAGGGCTGAGCCCCTTGCACGGATTTCGTGCACCGGGCCTCTAGTTCATAAAAAAAATACAGAAGAAATAGGAAGAAAATGCAGAGGGCTGAAGAGAACGGGGGGGGCATCCCAACCACATTCACTCTCACTCAGTCACCTGAGCCACCGTCTTCGAAGGTTTAAGAGGAGAGTTTCTCGTGCTTGGAATCTCCCAAGGGAAACGATGCGTGAGGACGGTGCGAGGACTCTGTCGACCGTCGCTGAGATTTGCTGGAGGACACTCAGCTCTAACTCAATGCTGACTTCAACACCCCGCCATCAGACCCCGGTCCAAGACGAGGTTTGGGGGACCCCTATTTCCACACCTCAGGTCACACCCCTCCAGCGTTCCGTGAGCTCAGACACGCTCTCTCGCACTGACACGCAAGCAGCCAGCTGGGGACGACGAGTGCCCGGAGCCTACAGACATGGCATTGGGTCCTGCCTGCAGATCCTATCACCGTGATGACTGTATTCTTCATGAGAGAATGCTTACTGCGACATCCGCACTTTCTTACTTTTAGTTCATATGAGGACATGATGGAGGCGAAACCAGTCCTCCTTCAGACCAGTATGCCAACCCTGCAATGGCCTGAAGAGGGCGAACGTGGACACCAACGCTCGGGTGCGGCCACCATCGCGGGAGAGCCCGGAGCGCTCACGCACAGCCCCGAGACCCACACCAGGAGGCGCAGGGGTACGGAGACCCAACTTACTACAGGGCCGTTGTTCAGAAGCCAACCACGTGCAGAAAGAAGGGGATGGCCCAGCCGGCGGGGCTCAGTGGTCGGGCATCAACCCATGAACCCGGAGGTCATGGTTCAACTCCCGATCAGGGCACATGCCCGGGTTGCGGGCTCGATCCCCAGGAGGCAGATGATCAATGGTTCTCTCTCATCGTTGATGTTTCTCTCTCTCCACCCTCTCCCTTCCTCTCTGAGACCAATAAGAAATAAAAGAAAAGAAAGGGGGCAGGTGTCTAATGGCCTCAGAGGTGGCCACGGAGAAGTGGGGGCGCAGGGGAGTGGCACGCACCCAGGCTGGGCCCACTGGTCACCCCCCTGTGAACACACAGGTGCCCCAAACAAGGCGAGGCAGCTCCTGCAGGGCGGGAGCGAAGCATGAAAAGGGGGGAATGCGTAATGGAAACTATCAAAGGAGAAAATAGGTAACAATTTAAGAGCAAAAGGAAAAGCTCTCATTGTTGTTCAAAAACCAGTGCTTTTTACATGACCCGGACCACTTCTGGGCTGTTCCAGAAACTGTGAGCCCTGAGATGACAAACCAGCAGCCACAGCCGTCCAGGAGCGGATCTGGCTGCCCCGGGAAGGAGCAGGCCGCCCATCACAGAGGCGTCCAGGCAGAAGCCACACGACCCCCCACCGGGTTCCCAGAGCAGAGTGGCTGGCACCGGGGTGCAAGGGCAGCACCCACTGGGGTGCAGACGGAGCCAGGCTCTCCGGCCCACACAGCCCGGAAGCGACGCTCAGTGGCAGGGCCCCAGCCTGCGCCCACGCTGGGTCCTGGCGCCACCATCTCCCCACCAGAACCTCCGTGGGAAGCTCGTCTGCTGCTCCATCAGCACCAGCATCAGCCCCGCCCAGCTGCCCTCTGACCTCTGATGGGCCCTCGCCTGGCCCAGGGCCTGCACCTGCTTTACCAGCGGCTCCCTCCCCGGGAAGCTGCACTTCGGCTCCGAGTCCCAGACACAGTTACCCTCCCGGCCCGGCCGGCCCAGGCCCAAGTCCCCGCTGCTTCTCCCTGATGATCCAGGCCCTGCGGGCGGCTCCACGCCCCCAGCCCCCTGCCCCCCACAGAACTGGAGCTGGTGTGGCCCCAGATGGGGGGCGTGTGCTCGCCACCCCACCACCTCCTTGCTGTGAGGGCGGCCATGTGCCAACGCTCCGGGAAAGGAGTGTGAGCTGAGGCGCTACACGGGTGACGCCTCCTGCCAACAACGGGGACCCCAGCAGGGACGTCACCTGAGCGCCAGTCACACTGTGGACGATCCGGCCCCAAACGGACCCACCGCAGCGGAGACTCTGGCCCAGCAATCTGAGTTTCCGCAGGTGCTGCGGGAGCTCGCACGCAACCTCAGGCTTCGGGCCCGGCCGAGCCCTCGCGCCGGCCAGCCTCGGCCCCGCTGGCGGGAAGGGCCCCCCTACTGAGCTCAGCAATGTGTTGGGAGGAACACAGGTCTCCACAGGCCAAGGAGCAGGACTATCCAGCAATCTGGACC